CTCATAGCCTGGGATTTGAATGACCTAAATCCTTCCTTTGGCAGCCTGGTTTGCTGTTATTTATGGTGCTTCCCAATTTATTATCATCTGCAGTTGGAGGCTTTGTGCGTGGTGCTGTCCACCAAGTGATTTATGCACAGTAAAGAGAGCAGAGCATCCAGAGCCACGGTCCCCAGACCCCCACACCCCTCCTGTCCCCTGGCACCTGGGGCAGAGCTGAGCGGGCAGGGAGGGCAGGGGCTGCCCCAAAACGCAGAGTTGTGTCTGGGGAAGGAATTGGCTCGATGGTGTCATCAGGACAGCTCCTGGGCCTGGGCTGTGGCAGAGCACTGAGGCTGTGAAGGGTCAGGAGCACAAGGCTGATGAGGAGCAGCTGAGGGAGCTGGAAAGGGGCTCAGCCTGGAGAAGAGGAGGCTCAGGGGGACCTTGTGGCTCTGCACAGCTCCTGCCAGGAGGGGACAGCCGAGGCATCGGGCTGTGCTCCAGGGAACAGGGACAGGAGGAGAGGGAACGGCTTCTGGTTGCACCAGAAGGGAAGTTTAGTTTGGATATTAGGAAAAATTTCTTCCCTGAAAGGGCTGACCAGCCTTGGCACAGGCTGCAGTGATGGAGTCACCATCCCTGGAGGGATGTAGCAGATGATAGGGAGTGGCCACTGTGCCTTGGCTTGGTAGTGCTCCCAGCCAGGGGCCACATCTCTGTCTCCTTGGCAAAGCCCTGCAGCCCCCACTCCCTTGGGGGGTCCAGTGCGGGATGAGGGATGTGCTTGTGGTGAGTTATTACCCCACACTTATCAGTATTAAACTCGATTTGGCAACTCATAGCCTGGGATTTGAATGACCTAAATCCTTCCTTTGGCAGCCTGGTTTGCTGTTATTTATGGTGCTTCCCAATTTATTATCATCTGCAGTTGGAGGCTTTGTGCGTGGTGCTGTCCACCAAGTGATTTATGCACAGTAAAGAGAGCAGAGCATCCAGAGCCACGGTCCCCAGACCCCCACACCCCTCCTGTCCCCTGGCACCTGGGGCAGAGCTGAGCGGGCAGGGAGGGCAGGGGCTGCCCCAAAACGCAGAGTTGTGTCTGGGGAAGGAATTGGCTCGATGGTGTCATCAGGACAGCTCCTGGGCCTGGGCTGTGGCAGAGCACTGAGGCTGTGAAGGGTCAGGAGCACAAGGCTGATGAGGAGCAGCTGAGGGAGCTGGAAAGGGGCTCAGCCTGGAGAAGAGGAGGCTCAGGGGGACCTTGTGGCTCTGCACAGCTCCTGCCAGGAGGGGACAGCCGAGGCATCGGGCTGTGCTCCAGGGAACAGGGACAGGAGGAGAGGGAACGGCTTCTGGTTGCACCAGAAGGGAAGTTTAGTTTGGATATTAGGAAAAATTTCTTCCCTGAAAGGGCTGACCAGCCTTGGCACAGGCTGCAGTGATGGAGTCACCATCCCTGGAGGGATGTAACAGATGAGTAGATGTGGCACTTGGGGACATGGGTTAGTGGTGACCTTGACAGTGCTGGGGGAATGGTTGGATTCGATTTTAGAGGGCTTTCCCACCTAAATGATTCCGTGATTGTGTGTGGTCACAGACCTGCCTCTCACTTCCTAGCCCAAGGAGGCATGCTGCACTGGGACAGCAGGCAGTGGGCAGAGCCCCTGCAGGGCTGGGGGCACCCTCTGCCCGCTGGGTTTGACTCCAGGGATGTCCCTGCACCACGGAGGGGCTGCACTGCTGTGGCCTGGCCTCACAGGGGTGTCATCCTGTGTGCACTGGGGCCACGTGCTCCTGGCACAGGTGTTGGGACAGGTGTGGTGTCCCGTGGCCTCCCCAGGACAGGACGGACCAGGGCCCTTTGCATGGAGCTGCTGGAGCAGGTGGGGTGTGCCAGGAGCAGGGATGATGTGCCTGGAATGCTCTGGGAGCGAGGACAGGGTGCTTGGGATGCTCTAGGAGCAGGGATGGGACAGCCAGGCCCCTGCCCTAGTGGGCAGAAGAGGGGTGGCTGCGTGGGCAGCTCCCTGCTGCAGATCAGGCTGCTCCAGGGATCCAGGGCTCAGCACCGACTGCAGCTTCCCCAGTTTATCTTCTTTCTTTTTAAGAACATTCATTCCCTGTTCCTGGCAGAGAGCATGCCTTCCTCCACGCTGGGAGAGGGGGAGGGGGGTGTGTTGTAAATTTCCCATTTTTCTGATAAAACTGTATCGCTACGGCGGAAATCAAATCCCATCTTGGATATTTTTAGCATGAGAGCATGAAGGCACAGAGATGCCGAGGGAAGGGAGGATGGGAGGGGAGCGAGGACGGCGGGCTGGGTCTCCATGGAAACTGTTTGCTTTAAATTCCCGCATTGGGGCACTGAGTGTGTAGGAGGTGATGAAGGAAAGGAAAAAGCAAAAAAGAGGCAAGGTTTTTTCCTTTCTGTTGTCACAAAACTGCTGAAGGAACCTTAGGAGAAATGGGCATAAATTATTGATCATCTCAACACGAATACCTGTGCATTTTCATTAGCAGCCACCCTGTCGTGTCTCTCGAGGGTGCAGGTGGGGTGTGCAGACCCCTGGTTTGTTCAGACACCTTTGGAAAGGAGCTGGTGTCACTCTCTGATCCTGAGCTGGTTCCTCGGTGGGACTGCCCCAGCTGCCCTCTGGATGTTCTTGTGTGCCAGGCTGCTGTTTCTGCCCAGACACACGAGGGGAAAGAGCCAGTGCCCAGACCATGGGTGCTGGGGGAATGATGCTTCTGCCAGCTGGCGTGGGTTTGGGCTTGGGTTGGATGCTTCTACTCAGAAGAGGGGTTTTTTAATATTTAGGGTATTTTTTTAAAATATGAAAGGTGTAGTTAGCCAGGCGGTATTGGTGTTCTTGTCTGAAGTCCTGATAATGGGCATGAGTACACCTCAGGTCTGGGGGACGTGTGGACATGAAACCCCCTTGTCTGTGGGTGCAGTGTAAATGGGGGGCTGGGCTGGGGTGGCACGAGGGTGTCTGTGGTGCCTGGCCCTGGTGTCTCAGACCACAGTCCTGCTCACAGGCTGGTGCATTAGATCATGTCTGAAAAACTCCTCACTGCAGCACACAAAGTTATTTTTAATTCATTGAAAAGGGAATGACCTAAAACCGGCAGCTGGTAATGGAGAGGATTAAATAGAGCAAAACAGGTACATTTTCAATTGAGTAATTTCAGAAGGAAGCAGCATGTCTCATTATGAGGTGCACGTTAGCAGTGCCCAGCCAGAGCCACTGAGTCCCCTGGCTGTGCTGGAGCAGCTGCTCCCAGCCTGCTCCCAGCATCATCCGTGTGACACCTGGGGACACCAGGCTCAGCCCGTGGCTCCGCAGTGATGCTCTCCAGGGTGGGCTCACCTGCTGCAGCAATGAAACCCCTGTGTGAGCCAGGGCTGAGCTGGAGCTGCTGGGCCAGGCTTGGGCCGAACACAGAAGTCCCTTGCTCAGCTGGGACGCTGCCTGGGGCACAGAGGTGTTGTTTGGGGGCAGCCTGTGGGTGTGTGAGGGGACTCTCAGGTGCCCTGTCTGGGTGGTGCTGCAGCAGGGGGTGTGGGTTTGGGGGATGCTGTCTGGGCTGGCATCCTGGAGGACAGACCCGCAGGGGTATTCTGAGCTGCACCAGGAGCTTGGGCCAGTTGATGCATTTTGTCTTTTCTCGTTTGCTCAGGTAGCTTTCTAGTCTGTATCTGGGAGAAAACTCTTGGGGAGGGAGAGGCACAGCTCAGGTTATATGTTTCTGAGGCTTTCTCTGCTGGCACGCACCAGAGCTAACGCACAGGAGGAAGCAGAGCAGTGCTCAGAGGGCTCTGAGTGCTGGTGGCCACAGCCCGGGCAGTGCCATGGCCTGTGAGCACAGCCACTGTTTGCAGCCGTGGCCAGCACCAGGGCTGCCCTGAGCCCTGGGCTGCAGGCGTGAGAAGGGCAGGGAATTTGGGAATGCAGATGGCAGGAGTGAGCTGAGCTGGCAGCTGTTATGGCCAAGTGTTCGTCGCAGAGTCCTGCCCCAGTGCTGAGGCTCCAGGGCTGCAGTCATTCTCCCAGTTCCCCAGCTTCTTCGTGCTGCTGGAGAGTGGCTCCCCAGGCAGTGGGTGAGCACCAGTTGGGCAGTAATTGCTGTGGAATTAACCTCTGACATTCTTCTAAAAATAGGCCAAATAAATCCAATCATTAGCAGCTCCCCCTGCGCTGCCTGGAGGGTAAACACTGCAGATTAAAGCGTTTGCACTTACAGGTCTCTGTGTGTCCCCTGGCTTCTCCTGCCACCGAGCCCAGGACCCTGGTTTGTGGGGAAGGGGAGCGGTGTCAGTGCAGGGCCTTTTCAGCTGAGGGAGGGCTGAAAGGCACCACTTTAATTTACCTTGGTAGGCGATGGTAGGTTGAGCAGTGTGCAGAGGAGAGCAGCAATGTGGATGTAGTCACCTGAGCTGTTCCACCTGAGAAGCTCAGGGAGAGAGGACAAAGGTGAGGTTAACCTGTCTGCTCCCTCTCCTCTGAGGGTGAAGGCAAACCACCAGCCAGGCACAGGGTGGCACAAGGGCCAGGAGGGAGCCAGCTCTGCCCATCAGCCAGCTGCTGAGATGAGATGCTGGGGGCACCCTCAGCACCAAGCCGTCCCCAGGTGTCAGGAATTGATTGTGTCACCCCAAACGGTGAGGGCAGCTCCCCAAGGCATGAGGGGAGCGTGCTGTGCCATGCTGTGCCGTGCCACGCTGTGCTGCCCAGCCCTGGGCCCCTGCTGCTGACAGCAGTCCTCAGGCTGCATTGAGCACAGGCACAGTACCTGGAAATCCCACTGGAACCGGGGCTGGGGCACAGGCCAGGGCAGGGGCCATGGCAGCATAGTGCTGAGCCCGTTCAGTGTTAAAGATGATAGAAAAACAGGGATTTATGGAGATGCCGCAGGGTACCAACGAGGCACGTCGCTGTACAGGGCATGGTGCTCCCTGGATGCCTGTGGAAGTCAGGCTGCAGTTACTTAAATTGTCTTTGTCTTCTCTTTACCAGCTGACATCATCTCCACAGTTGAGTTCAACCACACTGGAGAGTTACTGGCAACAGGGGACAAGGGGGGCCGGGTTGTAATATTTCAACGTGAGCAGGAGGTAAGTGCCAGTGAATGCAAAATGCCCATTTTATCCTTTTAAGTGAAGCGTCCTGCTGTTCCCTAATCTGCCTGTGTCACTCCTAAGCTCAGGGCTCTCCTGGCATACTACAAGCTGAAAAGTAGCTGTTAACATCAGCAGGGCCAGATTTCCTCCTGCCAAACACCTTCCAAACATCACATTGCCTGCATCCCTCTGCTCCATGTGTAACAGGGACCAGGCAGCACATCTGAGTGTGTGACGAGTGCCCACCTTGGTGATGACACCACCCCAAAACTCATCATGCCACCAAAATTCTGCCATCCACCAGTGTAGATGGATGCAACAATTAAGTTTCCCTTCCAAAACTTTGCTCAGGAAGTGCTAGCAAATGCTTTGTTGGAAGCTGGAGGTTGTGCCTGCTGGAGGAGCGTGTGTTCAGCCCTCAGCATGGCCCTGCGCTGGCGGGCACCCTGCCAGCCTGGCTGGGGGAGCTGTGCCAGCTCCTGCCACCTGGGATGGCCCCCACCATTTCCAAAGCTGTGCCAGTTAGCTGCTCTGCTCTGAGTCAGTGGGACCTGTCCTCAGCTGCTCTGGAAGGAAGGCATCAGACTTGGGCATGAGACAGGTCATGGTCCAATGATGGTTTTAAATTTATGTCAAAGTTAAGGCTTTAAAATTGTTTCTACATACTCTGAAGAGAGCTCAGTGGTTGACCATCACATGTGCAGACACCTCATCAGCCTTTCCAGCACTGGTCAATTTCTCCTTTTCCTCTCATTTCATTATTCTACTGCTTTTCCTGAACTTTAAGCCTCCAGCATAGTTCTGAATGTATCCACGCAGCTCCTGTTCGAGGGGACACGTGGGGCTCCAGCCACCCACCCAGACCAAGGCTGCCCATCCTGTGGCTGCCGCTGCTGCCAGCAGCTCTCCTGTGGCTGGGTTCAGCACAGCCAGGAGCTGGCACTCGCTCCCGGCTGTCACTGGGGCCAGGCTGGGGTGGCATCCATTCCCTCTGCGTTCCCTCTGTTTCCCCTCCATTCCCTCTCCATTTCTCACCCATTCCCACTGCGTTCCCGTTCCATTCCCTGTCCATTGCCGCTCCATGCTTGCTGTGTTTCTGCTCCATTCCCTCTGGTTCCCGCTCCCTCCCCACGGAGCTGGCCGAGCCGCGGTGTCGCGGAGGCCGTGCCGGGCGCCCGGCCCTGCGCTCGCTGCCACAGCGCCCTGAGCCAGCTCCCGTCCCTCGCAGAGCAAGAACCAGCCCCACCGCCGCGGAGAGTACAATGTCTACAGCACCTTCCAGAGCCACGAGCCCGAGTTCGATTACCTGAAGAGCCTGGAGATCGAGGAGAAGATCAACAAGATCCGATGGCTGCCGCAGCAGAACGCGGCCTACTTCCTGCTCTCCACCAACGGTACGTGGCACGCTGCCCGCCGCCCAGCCCTGCGCTCCACCGCCCGGCCTGCTCTTCTCTGTGCCCTTGATTCGGGGAAATAGTGGCTGAAAACTCTCCCTGCAGGGTCACACGGGTGTCTTGGGGCAGTGGGTCTGGCAGAGCTCCATCCCTGTGCACCAGGTGTATTTCACAGCAGCCCCTCCCTTTGAGGGAGAGAGGGAGGCTTCTGCCCTGACAACAACTTATGGTTTTTATTCTCAGGATCCTGGGATTTATTTATTTTTTTTAAGACAAACTGCAGGTGTTTTGTTTCAATTTGCAGTCACGTTGGGCTCAGCAGTTCCATGTTATGTTCTGATAAGTGTCATGAGGATCTAGGAATATTACTTGGGATGAATGGGACCTTAAGATGGATGTGACTTAATTACTTCAGGGGAAAAGGAGGGGTCTAATTATATTCCATAACCAACTTACCTTGTGTTATAGAATTAACTCTATTGATCATTGTAATAAAATTCAAAGACTTATTAAACTCATTTGGGGGAGAATCATTGAAATGAAATGAAGATTAATTATACAGCATAATGTTCTGTTAATTGAGTTTTTAAATAGTTTTTTGATTAACAGGGATATTACCCTTCCATTTGGGTGGTGTTCCATATGCAGGCAGGTTATCAAAACAATTAGTTTGGAAATACTCCTGTGTTATACTGTTTCTTTTTGCTCTTACTATTACACTAACATTTTATAGTGAACCCTCCCCCCCCTCCAAAATAGAGCATGTTAATAAAAACAAAATTAATTTACACTGCTTTGGAGTTGCTGTGTAAAAGAGAAAATGAAGATGGATGATGGGGTTTTGTATGAAACCTGGTGGAAGTGATGATAAACTATGGATGGAGTCCCTGCCAGGAGGGAGCGAAGAAAACACCATTATTCAGAGTTACCCCACGTGTTCCTGGTGTTCTTTCTGCAGGGGCTCTGTGGCACAGGGGGTGGGATGCTGGGAGGAGACAGGGAGCTGCTGGGGTGGGAGCTGCCTGCAGTCCTGGTGAGAGCTGGGCTCTGCACAGGTCTGGGAGGAGAAGGTCAGCGTGACTCTGGGTGAGTACAGACACCCTGTCAGCCTCAGGGCCCTGAGGTGTGCCCTGCACAGCTGTGCTCCTCCGCAGGGCTGTGCACCCGCAGCTTGCTGTGGGCACAGGTACCCCTGTCACCTCTGCCAGCAATGGCACTGGGGCACAGGTACCCTCGTCACCTCTGCCAGCAATGGCCCTGGGGCACAGGTACCCCTGTCACCTCTGCCAGCAATGGCACTGGGGCACAGGTACCCCTGTCACCTCTGCCAGCAATGGCACTGGGGCACAGGAGGTTTTCCAGCCTTGACACATCTGTCAAGGCTCGGGGAGCAGCCACCTTGATGCTCTCCTCTCTCCTCCCCCAGACAAGACTGTGAAGCTATGGAAGGTCAGCGAGCGGGACAAGAGACCGGAGGGATACAACCTCAAGGATGAGGATGGCCGTCTCCGAGACCCCTCCATGATCACCGTGCTGCGGGTGAGTGTGGGGGGACCGTGGTGGCTGAGGAGTCATTCCCTGCGGGGTCTGGGATGGAAACTGCTGCTGCTGTCCCCTGTGTGCCATGGAGCCTGCCGTGGGATCTGCAGTGCCATCATGCCATGGGGCCTGCAGTGCCATGGTGCCGTGGGGCCTGCCGTGGGATCTGCAGTGCCGTGGTGCTGCGCTCGGTTGGTGCCGAAGGCAGCCCCCGGTGCTGTGACTGGTGCAGGGGCTTGGCAGTGACGAGGGAGCTGCCCGGGCTGTGCTGATGCAGGGCAGCGTGTCCCGTGTCTGGTGGCACAATGTGCTCCGTGTCTGGTGCCACAGTGTGCCATGCTGCCCCATGGGCTGTGCCCATCCCAGGAGGTGCCAGGGCCAAAGCTCTCCCAGCTTGGAGCATTCCCAAATGTAGCTGCTGCTGTAGGAGCAGAAGTACTTCCTCCAAATGAGTTTTCCTCCTGGCCATGACCTTAATCAGACCAGACCAGCTTGTAATTTATTAACACCCTGTCCGAATTTGCATTTTGAGTACTTGTGGGTTTTATATTTATACATATGAAATTATTACTATGATTGTGCTATGATTACTATGACTCATTTTATGGGTCCCAGTTCCATTGTGCATGAAGCCATTGAGAACCCTGGGCAGGCAGTTAATTCTTGTCTCTGTACAGGGTTGTTCCTGGTGACTGGCAGTGTTTTTCTTTACACAGCAAGAGAGCATTTATTTCATGTAGATGTGTATCTGCTGTTAAGTTTCAGGCAGCATTTCCAGCCTAACATGGTGATACCTGACAGCCCGTTGGAGAGGTTTGCTCAGTGCCTGGCTGTCAGAGCTGGGGCTGTCAGCCCTTGGCAGGCTGGGAGGCAGGATTTGAAAGGCAGCAGTGTTAAGGATGTTATCCCAGGTGGTGCTTCCTTCTCTGCTCAAACACACAGGGAAGGCCCTGGGATTTCTTTCTCCCCTGTAGAAAGTCATACTGAAATATCAGAGAACCGAACAGGGTTGGAGTCCACTCCGTGCCTTGAAAGTTTCAGCCTCTGTTTTGCTTTCAGCCCGTGGGCTGCTGGCAGCAGCTCAGTGCAGCGTGGCTGGAGGAGCTGCTGTTTGGTGTCTGCCACTGCGCCGGGGTCAGCGCTGCCCCTCCTGCCCCTGGCCAGCGGCCGGCCGAGGCGCGGGGTGCCGGGAGGTCAAACACGCTTTGAGTGCTCGGTGTGATGCTTACTGGTGTCTGCTGTGAAGTGCCTGTGCTCCCTGAGGACAGAAGATTGAGTCTTCCACCAGCCCCCTTTGATCTAATGTTTTGGTGATTTTACTTAGACAGATATTTACAATAGCTGTAACTGTTTTGCTGCAGCTTGGTGTTAATCTGACATGTAATTGTCCTGTGATGGGTATGCTTTAAATTAAAGCCACATCCATCTATGGTTTAATTTTTAACCACAGACAAGTGAAAAAAGGGTTTTAATGCACCTTGCTGCCATAATTTCTCATCCATTTGGCTTAATGGTTTAAATGCACTTGATGAGCATCATCCTCTGAAGAATTTCTAACCCACACAGTGCAAAAAGGATATTTAACTCTGCTCAGGCTGTGTAGTGAGGTGTTTGCTGTCATTAGTAGAGCTCTGGTGATTTGAATCACCCCCAGTCTAATAGCTGCAGCCCTCTGACCTTGTGTAACTACCTTGGTGTGCTCCTGAGTTCCACTCGCTGTACCTGTGCCTTGGGACATGCTAGGAGATAATTAACACAAGTGATGTCTAGGGCTTAAACCTTTCCAAAGAGAGGATGTGTTGGCTTTGGTCACTCCCAGTGCAGGGCAGTCTGGGGTGTGCCCTGCCCCGGGGGCAGGTGCTGGGTGCTGTGGGTGCTTGCTGCAGGCGGTGCTGCTGCTGGGGGTGCAGTGTGTGCCTCTTTCCTCGTGTTTGAGGCTGTCACAGAGCCCTCTCTGAAGAGCTGCCACTCCACTCTCTCTGTTCCAGCAAATTCCATGATAAATCCTGGTTTGTGTCTCCATTTTTGTGGAAGCACTCAGATTTCTTGGCCCCCGTGCAGTTTCCCAGGGATGCTGTGCTGTGCCCCGCTGCCTCTGATTGCCCTGACAGCAGTCCCAGAGGGGCTGTGATGGAGATGCCTTGGCGAGGTCGGCTGTGCTGCTGCTGCCTTTCTGCCTCAGCAGAGAGATTTGCCTCTTTTTCTTGTACACGTTCTGCAGAGCATTTCAGTGACAAGGCGGGGACAAGAGATGGAGGCAGCAACTCCATCAGCTGCGTGGACGAGCAGTGAGGCAGCAGCTTTGTCCTCCTGCAGGAAGGTCCCTTCTGCATGTCACAGGGCAGGTCAAATGTGACAAAATTCTGAGCAGCGTGAAGTTGTCACTTCGCACTGTGAAGTCTGCCATGAAAACAGTGCTTGATGCTCATTTTGTCTGCAAAATGCTACGCTTGAGGTGGCATTGGGCAGTCACAGAATATAACTTATGGAGGTTGGAACTGAATTCTGGGGAGTGTGCCTGGAGGAGCTGAGCCACTGGGGCAGGTGGAAAACTCACTGGATTTATCCCTGAGCACTTCCCTGCTCCCTGATTTGCCAGGGACCGGATTACAGTTTCCTTCTCGGAGACTCAAGGCTGGGGTCAATCCGAGCTTCAGCTTGACTAATCCCACTTGACCAAATCCTGTGGAGCACGCCGAGCTCCGGCCGTGCTGCTGTGGAGCAGGGGGCTGGGCTGGGGGAGCGGGGCAGCTCTCACCAGAGGGGGATGTGTGTCATGCACAACTGTCATGTGTGCTTGGAGTGAGTGGCAGGTCTTCGGCATGGGGTACCTGCTAAAAGCAGAATCAAAATTAAGATTTACTTTGTTTTAAATGAAAAGTGACTGGCATTGCCCCCCTTCCTGAAAACAGAAAGTAATTGAATTTATTAGTGTTTTATTTTCTTTGACACATTGATGAGCTTTGTTAAAATGAATTGCCATTTAAAAATGGGTGTGTGTGACACCAGAGCCTGTCCTGAGGTGGGCTCTGGAGCTGGAGCAGGGGGGCACAAGGAGGTCTCTGCTGTTCAGGCTTGTTGTGGCAGCGTTGATTGATCTGGGTGGGTTAGGCAGAAGCTCACTTGGCCTGTGCCTGCTTCAAAAAACCACAAGAACCAGTTCCAGTTGCTGTCACATTGCCCCATTTGTTGGTGTCTCCACTGTGGCTGAGGCCTGGCTGGGCAGCTGCTCCCCTTGGCTGTCCCGAGCCAGGGTCCCTGTGCTGCTGTTGGGGAACGAGCTCACCATCTGCTCCCAGCAAATTCCTGACTGCCCATCACTCCCATCCCCACCTCTGCAGCCAAGGAAAATCTCCTCAGGCAGCACACACATTGTACAAGGAATGGAGCAGCTGGAGGAAACAGCTCACTGGCAAGCAGGAGCATGGGCTGGCACACTCTCTGTGTCCAAAGTTATCACTGACCCCACTCCTCACACACGTGATCCCCTCTGCATCTCCCCACTCCCCACTGGGTTATGCTGATTTAGCTAAAGGCAAACACCCATAGCTCTGTTCCTGGTCCTTCCCTGTCCCTTCTCATCTCTTACCTCCATCACTTCACTGTGAGACAAATGCGAAAACATTTAAAGAAAAAACGTGCTGACCTGGCTCTGTCAAGCAAGGTATTTCTGTCAGAAATGCTCCAGGAATTTCAGATCCTGGCCAACAGTGACAAAATGAGGAAGAAGAGGTTCTTCATTTTGGTTTTTTTTTTTTGTTTCAAAGCTGGAACAGTTGCTGCAGCAAGATCAGAGCCTGGTTTACTGGGCTCTCACTGCTTCACTGTGCTCTAACCATCCTGGAGCCTCTCTCAAAATTAGATTTTGGGTCTGCTTGTCCTTCTGTCATACAGGTGGGAAGGCATTATGTTTCCCTGGAGAGAGCCTGTTAGGGGTGAGTGGATAGAAGCACGGGCAGCCAGAGCTCAGTGGGACCCCGTGAGGCCATCCCCCCTGCCAGGTGCTGGCCTGGGGCGGCTGGCTGGACCCTGTCCGTGGGTGCTGACGCTCTCTCCTCGCCCTGCAGGTGCCCGTGCTTCGGCCCATGGACCTGATGGTGGAGGCCACTCCCCGGAGGGTGTTTGCCAACGCACACACCTACCACATCAACTCCATCTCCGTCAACAGCGACTATGAGACCTACATGTCAGCGGACGACCTGAGGATAAACCTGTGGAATTTTGAAATCACAAATCAAAGTTTTAGTATCCTTTGGTGTGTGTGGCTCTGGGAACAGCCCTGGGTCCCAGGGAGGTGCAGCCCCAAGGGAAGCAGCCAGGCTGTGCCCATGCCTGTGGGGATGGGGACAAGTGGGCAGTGCCTTAGCCCCACACCAGTAGTGGTGCCCTGCTGCAGGAGCTTCACCCTCTGCAAGGCTGGCAGGAGTTCAGGGGTACGAAATACTGCTGCCTGCAGAGCACTGGGGGTCCCCAGGCCCATGGGTTGTTCTCAAGGCACTGCCCTCTCATCTCTCCTGTGCCACTGGTGGGATGCCAGGCTGTGTCCACACGAGGCATCCAGCACTCCCATGGAGCTGCTCCCTCCACGGCACGGGGCTCAGCTGGCATTGCCACCGCTGCTGCTGTCACCCGATGTGTGGGTGACACATCCTGAATTTGCCTGCAGGGTCTGGTGGGGCGGGCAGAGGGGGGGTGGTCTGCAGGTGGTGGAGGAGACAGATGCCTTGGGGAAGAAGCAGTAATGGTGCCTTGGGGAAGATGGAAGCGGTTATGGTGTGGTCCCAGTGCACCCTGCAGTGGTGACAGGCTGCCAGTCACTGCTCTACAAATGAGGTTGTGACAGTCACGCTTGTAACAGCCACATCGGAAATAATAAACAGGGCACGAATCGTTGAGGGTATTTATATGGTGTTTCCTGCTGAGAAATCCCTGGGGCATGATTTAGGCAGATGGAGAGGATTTCAGCAGTCACAGGCATGTGGCGATGGGAGCTCTGAGCAGCTGCAGGAGAGCAGGGCTGTGGTGCCTGCTTATTTGCAAGGATGAGGGTGAGGAGTACCAAATCTGTGACAAACCCCAGGGAGTTCACATGGCCCAAGGGACTTACATAGGGGTTTTCTGTTGGTTGTTGTGCCCTGGGCTTTGCTGCCATTGCTGTTTTCAGTATGGCTACTCACCATGGCACAATGTTGCACTAAAAGACGTTTACTGAGGCCTGGCGTGGGTGGGCAGATCAGGTCTCGTGTGCCACAGAGGGTCTTCAGGCTGGTACCAGAACTGGGGTTCCCAGCCTAGCAGAAGACATGCTGGATGTTGGCCTTCCCCTGCTGGTGTGGGCCGGTCCCACTCCGTGCTTTGCCCTGTGGTGGTGGTGCCTGCCCGGAACACACGGTTTGCATGGCTGAGGAGAAGCGCCGGTGCCAGAGACATCAGCAGGGCTGGGCTGGGCTGGGCTGGCCGCGTGGGCTCCTTGACTGGCCCTGCCAGACATCGTGGACATCAAACCAGCCAACATGGAGGAGCTGACGGAGGTGATCACGGCGGCCGAGTTCCACCCGCACCACTGCAACGTGTTCGTGTACAGCAGCAGCAAGGGCACCATCCGCCTGTGCGACATGCGCACCGCGGCCCTCTGCGACCGCCACGCCAAGTGTGAGCGAGCCGCCGCCGCCCGCGGGTTAAAAGAGCACAAAAAAGGGAGTGGGGAGGCCCACCTGGGCTTGGGTCTGCCCTAGTGCCTCGTTCCCTTCTCCCCTGGTGTCCCTGGCTGCGATCCCCGTGGCCACTCGCTCCCCTCCAGGGCCATCTCGGGGTCCCCGAGGAGAGGGAGCTGGGAAGGCTGCTGCGGGAGGAGGGAGCTGCCAGAAGGAGCTGCTGCGGGCAGGGCAGCACCTGCTCAGTGCCAGAGAAAGTAGGTTTGTTGTGTAAGAGGGAATTAGTGCTCAGAAATCCTTTCCGTGAGCTCAGCAGCCCAGATCTGCTTCTGCAGCAGGAGCAAAGCCACACAAAAGCCTTCAGCCCAAAAATAGCTGGCCCGAGCCCCTGCCCGGCCACTGGCTTTGGTTCGCAGACCCGCTCAGGGACTGGGCAGCACCAGTGTGTGCTGGGACCCCCATCCTGGCTTCTCCTCTGTGTGTGTGTGCTGGGAGCCTGGTCATGGCCGTGCCTGTGTGCTGGGAGCCCGGTGCCAGCAGAGCCCCTGCTGCTGCCAGTGCAGGGACCGAGCAGGATCCACACAGCAGAGCTGGTGGCCGTGGCCCTACTGCCCATTCCCAGAGGCACCCAGGGACAGAGCCCTCACAGGGAGACCAGTGCCTCATGGCTGACCTGCTGTGAGCAACAGAGACACGTCCTGGGTTCAGCTGCTTTCTGCCTGCCTGAGATCTTTGATTTTTCTTGTTGCTATCGCTTTTTATATGGAAAAAACCTCCAGGTTTCTGCCAGTGGTGAAAGGCCACAGCTCTGTGTCCTGCTGTGGGCAGTGCCTGTTCTGTATTGTTGAGATCATTTATATGGGCACTTCAGACATTTTCCCACTGTAGTGGAGCTCCAGGACGTGGTGGGGGGGTGATAAATCTAAGCACATGTGAGTGCTGGGTACAGCATCATGCAAGTGCTCTCTCCCAGAAGCTTCCTGTGGTGCCAGGACAGGGTGGCAGTTCCCTGGCCTGAGATCAGGGAGCTCCCACCTCAGCTAATGCTGGGGCTTGTTCTTTCCTCCTGCACAGTTTTTGAAGAGCCCGAAGACCCAAGTAACCGGTCATTTTTTTCTGAGATCATCTCCTCAATCTCTGATGTCAAATTCAGCCACAGTGGAAGGTACATCATGACCCGGGACTACCTCACTGTCAAGGTGTGGGACTTGAACATGGAGAACAGGCCCATTGAGACCTACCAGGTGAGTGTGGCACAGCCAGGGGCATGCAGCAGTGGGGCACCCGCTGAGTTCCTTCCTGAGCCACACTCTGGGCCAGTGGCAGGAGGGGTGGGGATGCACCTGTTGTGTGGGAGCTTTATGCCTGTAGATGGTGGAAAGCAGAGTGGTTAAATGTGGGCTCAGGTTGCCTGGTGGGTTGGCACCATGTCCCCAGGCTGAAGGTGGGTGAGGAGAGCAAGTTCAGATGCTGGGAGAGCCATGTGGGAGGCCTTGTGCAGAGCAGGAGCCCTGTCCTGTCACCCTGTGCCAGGGGATGTCCCCTGGCACTGCCTGGGGGTGCCCAAGCCGTGCAGAGCAGCTGGAGGTGAGAAGAACGGCGGTGTGGGAGGGCACAGGCTGCCAGGCAGTGCCCAACGCTGCCAGCTCGGCTGTGGCGAGCGTGGGGCACACCCTGTGAGCCAGGCTGAGTCTGCCAGTCCCTGGGCTGTGCTGGCCACCGTGGGGGCTCATCCTGTGCCTCCCACCGGCAGGTCCACGACTACCTGCGGAGCAAGCTGTGCTCGCTCTACGAGAACGACTGCATCTTCGACAAGTTTGAGTGCGTCTGGAACGGGTCTGACAGGTGAGCACGTGCGCCGTGGCTGCCTTCAGCCCCGGGATGCTCCCTTTGGTTTGGCCCAAGGGCTCCCGTGGCCCCTTGGCAGCCCCTTCCTGGCCTTTGGCTGGCTGTGGGGTCTGCACAGGGGCAGCAGGGACCACCTACACCTGTAGCCTGTACGCAAGTGGGGATGGCTGAGGGTCCCACTCTCTCCCGGACAGAATCAGTTCTGCCTCTCTGTCACCCACCGCTGGAGGAAGGTGGTGGTGGGTTTAGCTTCAGATTGCCAGAATCTGGGGATAATGAGTATCCAGGTGTGACTTACACTGAGCTAGGTGGCAGGAAGTGTGTGACTCCCTGACAGGGCTGTTGTGGTTTTTGTCTGAGCCATCAGAGTGAGCTGACAAAGCACAACAGGGCCTAAGACAAATTCCAATGCTTACCCAAATCTCATTATGCCTCTGAATGTTCAGTCTTGCTCTGGTCACCAGCAGTTTGCCTCTGAAAAGGTGTGAAAATCATCTGTCCTTCCCCGTTGCAGTGTCATCATGACTGGCTCCTACAACAACTTCTTCCGCATGTTCGACCGCAACACCAAGCGCGATGTGACGCTGGAGGCGTCGCGGGAGAACAGCAAACCCCGTGCCATCCTCAAACCCCGCAAGGTCTGCGTGGGTGGAAAGCGCAGGAAAGACGAGATCAGTGTGGACAGTCTGGACTTTAGCAAAAAGATCCTGCACACAGCTTGGCACCCCTCCGAGAACATCATCGCTGTGGCAGCCACAAACAACCTGTACATATTTCAGGACAAGGTTAACTAGGAGGACCAGGTCTTCTTTAGGAGTCTCATGTACTGATACCAGTAAACACAAGGTTTCAACTGTTCCTTTTCTTTCTTTCCTTCTTTCTTTGTTTTCCTTTCCTTCCTGTTCTCTGTTCAGTTCCTGCTCTGCAGATGGCGGTTGTGCAGAGGAGCGCTGGGGCGCTCTGGCCCAGGGGCCACTGGGGGCACCCCCAGACACCAGATTTACACAGGGAGAGCTGAGACTTCCTACAGGGCAGTGTGAGCATGTCAGGCCTGGCCGTCCCCTGTCCCCAGGCATGTCCCCAGGCAGTGCTGGGGTGGCAGCAGCCCTCTGTCTGGAGGGGGCTGTCAGCTGGGGAAGGGATTGATGGGGTAACACACCGTGGGCTCTGGCCAGCTCTGGTGGCAGTGGTCCCACTCCAATTGCTTTAAACCTGATCCCAGAAACATTCCACCTGTTGTGTGGAAGATTGGAATGTTGCCTCCCTTTGCCATTTTCCACATTTGTCTTTTTATTACAATTACTTTGTGTTTTACCAACAGAGACAGCAAAACCAAACGTAAAATGGAAAAGTTCAGTTTTGCAATGGACAAGCTTAAGGGGCAGGGGGTATGTGCTGCACCTCCAGATGTGTCTGCTCCAGCTAGGTTGCCCCCCCCAGCCCCAGAACCCTCCTGAGGATTTGGCTTTGTAGATACTGTGGTGCCTTCTTTGGTATATGAAATACCTTTATAAATGATGCTTCCGACCTGCATTGATCGCAAACCAAACCAACCCTGGGCTCTGCTGCAGTTCTGGGCTTTGCTTTGGTCATTTTTCTCATTCTGTTGTGAGCTCTTGCATGTCGTGACTGACTGTCTCTCTCTCTCTTTCTCTCTCTCTCTTTTTTAATTAATTTATTTATTTATTCAATTTTTTAAAGATAAAGTATAAGTTGCTAATTTATGACCTAAAAAAAAATCCAACTGTATATTGCTGTTAGCCCCTGACTGTGTCAGAGAGAGGCTGTCTGCAGTCCTACATTATAATAACAATGATAATAATAATAAAACCGGTAACTCTTTCTCTTTGCATGGCGAGGCTGCCTCTTTCTACTCTACAGATGGGTCAGGTCCCTCTTTACTTGAGCAACTGTTCAATAAAAAAAGATTGACTGGATTTTCTGTAAATCTGAAAACTGCTCCTGCAGCAAGAAGCAAATGAAGTCAATTACAAAATTCAACACCATCACTTCGGCAGTGGCTCCACAAGGGTGACCCTGTTGCCATCCCTCCCGAGGGGGCACCTGGCACCCCCAGCAGCCAAGGCCTTCAGGATCTACGAGTCACCAAGGCCAGGTGTCCCCCAGGACAGCCTCTCTGCGGGCACCGTGAGGATCATGGCATGCCCGACCAGGGAAAGGAACTGCTACACACCCACAGAGCTCACGGACTGCACGGAAACCAGGAGCTGGCTGGAGGCAGGGGCCCCCCACACGCCACTTTCAGAGGAGCCATTCCAAGGGAAGAACAAAGTGCACTGGCTTATGGATTTATTCCAAGGGATGGCTTTCAGGAGTAACTTTTTTAAAAAATGAAATGGTAAAATAAAATAGCAAGAGTAAATGCACCATTTTATAAGAAAATGCTCCTTTTTGGTTCTGTAAGAAAGGCTGCGCTGCGGTGTCAGAAGTAAAGTTGTCCCAAACGTGTCTGTGTGGTGCCTGTTGTGCCTCCCGCGCGCCGGGGACGCGGCTCCGGGGCTGAGGGGCCAGGGCTGAGCTCAGGGGGTGACCAGAGGACCCCCAAGCCCCCGAGGATTCTGGGTCCCCCCGAGGGTGCGGGACAGCGGGGCACTGCGGAACGTGGCAGCACTTGCAGGTCCCCACTGCACAGGAACCTCGGTTCTGGGTACAGCCCTGGAAGGAGCTGCCAGCCCCTCCCCAGTCCCTGCCCCAATTCTGGGCTGCTCCTGGTGATGAATTCAAACAGCAGCCCTTAATTAGCAGCTGCAGGGCACGGACTGTGCAGTCAGGGACATGTTCCTCGGACACTCATTTACCTTCACATTAGCTGCAGGACTTTAATCAACTGAAACAGGAGGAACCCAGCCCTGGCTCTGCTCCATCGTGTACAGCACTGTCTGGGCTGCTGGATCTGGCTGCTCCACAAGGCAGAACTTAGTTCAGCTTTTTTCAACAGCAGAGTTTCTTTCCCTTTCTTAAGCTTGCTTGGATTTAAGCTCTGCCCTGCTGTGAGTGCTTGGCCACAGAGGGCAGGGCAGGTCAGGGGATCTCCTGGGCTGCCATAGGAATGGTGCTAGGGAAGATGTCAGCACCCCTTAAACCCAGTGTCACTGGATGAGGATTCCACAGGCTGTCCCCCTACCTCTGGGGAAACTGGGGACTCTGCCTGGGCTGCCAGGGGGGACCAGCTCCATGGTCCAGCAGCAGCACACCCAGCCAGGAGCCCTGCACATGGGCATGATCCTTTTATCCACAGAATAAGCAAATAAATAAATTTTTATGAACATCTGGTCTCCATAAACCAGATCAATTAAAATTAATAGCCATCTTATTTAATGAACAAGTTCATGACATTCTAAACCAGCCTTAACAAACACACAGCTTCCCACTGGGCTGTGCTGAACAAGAGGAAATCCAGATGCTGGCAGAGCCAGGGAGTGGGCACAGGGACAGGACCCCCAGCACAGCGTCCTGCTCTGGGCACCACCTGTGTCCCAGACACGACCATGGCACACACGAGGGCACCGTGCTGGCTGGCAGGGGCAGATGGGCCACGTCAGATGTGGAGAGGGCAGCAGGGTCCCCCTGTGCCCACCCTGTGCTGGGGAGTCAGGGGGCTCTGTCCTGGCAGCTGAGCCCTGGAATGAGCTGACCTGGCTGTCATTCGGGGAGACTGTCCCACAGCCCAGCCAGGGCTCCCCCAGCTCTGCAAGCCTCCCTGGCCAGCTGTGATTTTACTTTCCAGGTGGGAGCCACGTGTCCCACAGGCTCTCACACTTTTGGTGTTGGTCAGCTGCAATTACTCCACTCCAGTCCCAGCACAGGCTTTGACTGACACTGGTTTCAGATGGTTTGGGAACCCTCACACCAGTGGAAGGGGCAGACACCAAGAGGGGAGGGACACTCCCCCGACTTTGGGTGTACACCCTCACTAGGAGCACCACAGAGCTCCACATTCTGCTGTCAGTGGCACACGTCTCCCCAGACTGTCCCAGCCTTTGTCAAACAACCCCTCTCTCTTGCTGCCTGCAAGTCCTGGCCCTGGCCACCAACACCAACTGCTGACAAGAATTCACTTGTCAGGATGAGGGAAGAAGGGACTTCTGCCTCTGCTCCTCTAAGAGCAAGAGACACATGTAAACACAACCAGCAGAAAGAAACTGGCTCTGCAAGCACTGCCAGCTCATGTCTAAGCAACAGACAAAAGGGCTAAACTGGAAAATCATTCTGCTCACCCCCCTGGCCCACATGCTGACCCCACACTGCTCAGTGCCACAGGCCCTGTTCTGCCCAGCACAGCCAAGAATGTAGGCAGTATCACTTCAGTCATTTGCTTTACTCATAAATTCACAAGTCCAACAAAATCCAACAGAAATCGGGATTAGGCCTGTACAATCCATATATAAAAAGGGTTGGTTTATTGTAGTTCAAATACATAAGCTGAACAATCCCAACATTTCAAAATTAAACTTTAGAAACACAAGTTTAACATTCAAAACAGGAGTATAGTTTACAAGAATTGCCCAGAGGGGTATGCACAGTCTAATCCAGAAGTATGTAAAGATCACTTTATTGTAAATAAAAATGTGTTTATACAACCGTCCTGGCCTGCTCGGTCACCTCTGGGATTTCCAGCTTCGAGCAAAACTCATTAGACAGAACTTCACTTGGGAGAGCAACCTGACTGCTGCAAATCGATGGCTGGGGGCAGGAACAGAGCAGCCTGTGAATAAACCTGGTTTGGTCTCCAAGTCCCTGTTCTCCACTCAGCTCTAAGCCTGGCTCTAACAGATTTAGTTCCATTCCCAAGGGTGGAAGCAGAGAACTGGGACTGGTGTTCCCAGAGTGGGCTGTCCGTGATCAGCAGTGTAAGCTAGCAGAGCTGACAGTGTGCTGGTGGCACACGCAGGACACGCTCAACCCACAACGCCGGCACGCGTGGGGCTCACCTGGAGGACACTGCCGAGAGGAAAGCCCCAGGTACCAGACACCCACACCTCACACACACCACCCCGAGACCCACCAGACAGCCCACACCGTGGGATTTGTCACTCATACTCCAATTAACTCATAAATATCCTTAACGTGAGTTTTTGCTGTCGGTTTTCCCCCCAGAGATCATTTCATGTTCACTAAGGCTGCTTCTGCCTCTGCCCCTCAGATGTCTGAATATATTCACGGCAATGGATGTGTGTAACCTGACAGATGGCTCATGCAAGCGTTTGGATTTACCAGACACCCGTGGCTGAGGAGCATCCCGTGCCTATTTGGTGGTTCTCCGCGTGGGCTCGGAGGCGGTGGGCGGCGGCGGCGGCCCGCGCCGGTCCAGGTCATCCACGTAGGACACGATGAGCTTGCGCCGCTCCTCGGGCACGCAGTCCAGCACCAGGTACCGCTTGTCGTTCTGCAGGATCTTCTCCACGTCCTTCAGGTGCTGGTCGGACTCCTGGATCAGCTTTTTGGATCTGAAAGCAAGCGAGAGAACACGCTGCAGCGTGGAGCAGGCAGGGAGCCCCGGGGAAGCTGCCCAGCCTAAGGAAGCACAGGGAGCCACAGCCAGGCAAGGGTGCAGGGACTGGGCCCTCTTCTGAGCAACAAGGACGTCACATCAGCTTGGGACTGGGCACCTAGCAGGGCTCTGGGCACAGAAAACACAGGCTCCTTGCCTACACTTGTGCTGTGTTAATTAAGCACCATTGAAGATTTCAGTAACAGACAGCAGCTGGGAAAAAGCAGCCATCAGTTTGCTGCTGTTTGCATGGCAGAGCAGCACAACAGCCACGCCCTGCCAGCACGGCAGGCCCACCTGTAAGTGATGAATTTGGTCTCTTTGAGCAGCGTCCGGAAGTCGGCTTTGGCAGTGATGTATTTGTCTCGGATGTACTCCTCAAACTCCCTCTGCTTTTTCTGAAAGAGGAAAGAAACACCAGTCACTGGGTGCAGCTCCAGCACCTCCTGCAACTGAACACCAGCAGTAATTACATGTCAATTATACTTTTCCTTACCTTCTACATTTTAAATTTTTTTAAATCATATTTAACTACTAACACCTGTGTCCACACAGAGCTGAACCCACTGCAGCAGCCCCCAAGTCACTCCTGTACCCTGCACCAGGCTGGAAGCTGGCAAGAGCAAAGCAAACCACTCACCCTGTCGCTCGAAGAGAACTTAATGCACCTTGGATCTTCTTTAATGATTTTTTTCACTTCCTTCCATGTTGATGTTAAGGTTATCTTTCAAAAGAAGCAAAAATAGTTAAATTAAAAGTAAATTAGACTCTAATAATAAGGAATGCAAACACTACTAACTTCTGAAGCCTTTAAATATACCCCAAGTCCACTGAAGAACTTGCTGTGAAGTGCTGGGTTCTCATTACTTATACTGTTACAGTTCTATTTTTAAAACGAGTTGATTTTACATAGTGACTCTTTCATATTTTGAGATGGCATTTTCAGATCAAGGTCCTCCAAATATAATTTACTTTCCAAAGTCTTTTTCTAGTACAATTATGTATATTGTGTTAAAAATTACCTGCAAAAAACTTGCCTCTAAATTAAAATAACTAATGCATTAAAAATTAGGTTTAAAACCTCCAGGTTAAATGAAAGCTGCCTGAAGTTGGCACAGAACTAAAAAAGAGGAAATCTCACTAAAACCCCAATGCACAGAATCAGGGATGCATTCCACAGCATGAGCAGAGTAAAAATTCAGGTTCAGCAGAACATCAGAACAGATGAACTGGGTAAGACCACACTGACTGCCATTAAGGCAAACACCCTGCATATCTGAAGGAGCCAGAGAGTGAAGAGTATCAAATAACTCAGTACTGAAGAAATAAA